ATATACATATTGTCATATGTCCAGCGCTATGCATGTACTGGGGGTAGGGTTGGGCATTTTATCCGTTTATATTTGATTCGATTCGATTTGTTATTCGTTTCGCTTCGATCCGAAAATTTCGTCTATCCGTAAACTTTCGAATCAAAGCAAATACTAAAAATCAATATCCGTTAAAATCGATGCAAATCACAAATATTAAAAATTTGGGAAGAGGATGTCCGATCCGATCCGAAAATATATAAATATATGTATATCTTGATTATATTTAGAATTTTAAATGTAGAAAATTATATCATTATTATTCTAGCACATGATTTTGAACAATTCTATTTACATTATTACTTATATATAAGTATTACATAACAAGAGAAAAAAAAAATTATGACAGTAATATTTTTTTTTCTTAAATTTTGTGTTATTATAATTGTAACTTAAAAAAATTACAAAATATGTAAAGTCACTAGTTTTTTTTTTTTTTTTTACTTTATATATCATGCAAAAAATATTTTTACAAAGTAAATTTGTATCAAAATTTTAAGATTATTTGTATTAATCAAAATGGATGAGATATCCGTAAATATTCGTAAATATCCGCAAATATCTATTTATTTTCTGGATATCCGTTTTTCGGATATCCGTATTTTTTCGAAGCAAAACAAATACCAAAATTAGATATTCGTAACATTCGAAGCAAATCACAAATACCTTGAAAAATCCGGATATCTGATCCATGCCCACCTCTAACTGGAGGTGCATTAACACAAATTTATCATTATTTTTTTTTATTTTTTCTAGTCTAAAGTAGGGTATGTTTTTCAAAAAACAAAATTTATATGACGAAAAAAATTTTGGCCTAGGATCTATATAATAGTTGAGACGGGATATTGACACCACATATTCACGTGCGAGTATTTGCACTCCATACACACAATTTACCTTATTTAGTTCTATACCTTATTTCTCTCTTTTCTTTCCTTTCCCTCATCGCTATTTTTCTCCCTAAAATATGGCAAATCTCTAAATATCTTGTTCTTTTAGTATATTGAGCTAAATCACTCTTATTTTATTATACAGTTATAAAATATACACATCTCTAAAACATCAAAAGTCTCGATTCTTTTTTATTTATAACATGTAGTAACCTCCTTATAATATAAACTCTATTTTCTTCTTACCTATAGTACGTATATTTTAAAAGTTGTTTTCATATGCAGATATTGTTTTGGTCAGAGTCCAGATCTAGGCATTGCAGTATTACACGTGAAAGATTATCTCCAACCGACTGAAATAGTTAATTACAACGTTGAAGTCAAAAGAATGTGTATTTTGTTGTCCAACGAACATTTGGGAATCGTACTGGATATGAATTAAACAAAAGGTTATATATTATAAAAAGAAAATAGTTTTGTCGTTGGTTATTTGTTTAATATAATCCCTTTAAACGTCCCGAAAGCTAGCGAACAACATGTAAAAAAATATATTAATCAATCGCATTCATGCATGCGCATTACGTCCACTAATTTTGTTTCACGTCCTTCAAGGCTTCAACAAAAAAGAGCATTTTCTCATTTGTCAGTAATATGCACAGATACTCAAATAGGCATACCATATCACATTCGGGCCGGCCCAACATTCTATGGTCCGTATGAATCGAGGCAAACAAAAAATTTGGGTCTGAGTTGTCAGTTTTTTTTTTTAAAGGGTTGCCCACGCAATCTTTACCTTTTTGATAAAAACATTGAATTTTATATTAGTTTTATTTTTTGGGTGAATTTGTGCTATTTTCATATGAGATAACGGAATGAAAATATAACCATAACAAAATTGATATAACAAAATTGATATGACAATTTATGTCAAAAGCAAACATTTTTCTCAAATGAAACATTGCTAACATACACTTTACATACAACAATCATTTTACTAGAGACGAAATTTATGTAGTTCTGGAATCAAACTATAATATTAAATAGATGAGGTAATATACACACAAAAAATTAAAAAGTGCATCGACATAAGTGTTTCTGGGGTGGGATGATTAACTTTAATGGAATAAGATAAGTTATAAAAGTTTAAAATATAAAAGACGTCACAATGTTGGATTGTATAAAAATAGAGACATATATATAATACAATAACATATAAGAGGAAAGAATGAGCAGAAGGCACTATAAGATATGTAATATAGTATAATCCATGTATCTCGGGAAAAAAAGTTTCCTCACAAAATACATAAGAAAAGGTCCAAAATATGTGTACATATGAAAGACAAGCAAAATTGATGGGTATGATGCATAGTAATAAAAAGACGATGGAGCTGATAAACTACTGAAGGAGAAGAACCGAGAAGCAAATGAGATACAAATTGGCGAGGAGGATGAGAGTGAAAATTGTAATATACTATGATTATAAAATAGAATAGAAAAAAAGACACGTAGAAAAGATGATGAGTGGCGACGGTATTGGATGACAAACAATGGAATTGATGGAGTAGTGAAGGAGAACAATCAAGGGACATAGAAAAAGATACAATTTGCAAAAGAAAAGAAAGAAAAACGTATCATACTATACTATAATTAAAAATAATATCGAATATATGACATGAGTTACTATTCATCTTCTCCAATTCAATCCATCGCATGATTCTTCATCCTCTTAAAGATAATGATTCATAGATTTACATCACTATTAGGGAAACTATTGCTTGATCCTATAATTATATTCAATCATACTGGATTTACCAATATCTAGTTTGTTTTTCGGCGCCATCGAAAACTTTAAAGCTCCGATGTAATTTTAAAGTTGTTTCTCCAATTTATGTGAACACTCCACAACTGTAGCTCTTTCATATAACTATTTTTTGTTCTCCAACTGTTAATTAAAATCTCTTCTATTAATTTTGTGGAACAAAAAATTAAATTACCTCATCTATTTTCACACGCACTCAAAAGTATTTTTTTGTCTATTTTCACAACAATATGTATTATATCATAGCCTAGGCTTTATTATGTACATATTTTTAATTTTAAGTATGATATGGATATAATGCCAAATTTCTCTTATTGTTTTTACAGAATACAATGATAAAACAAAAAAACATATTGTTTACAAAAAAAGAGAAGCAAAATCAACACCATCTAACATTACAAAAAAAGTCACAAATGAAATGCGCAACAGCGCAAGCGAGGCTGTTGAAAGTTTCAGTATCAAGCGGACAAGCACAAAAGCATTGGTAGTGCCACGAGGGAACAGTGGAGGAAGTAGGTATCATATTCTAATTTATCGGATAATCTGTTCTAGGGTATGTAGACCATATGGGTCACCATCCACTTATCCTTTTAAACATTGTTGTGTGTGGAAGTTCATTTAATCCAGTGGTCTGACCACAGAATTTTTGTAACTAGTCTTCCACTTAGTACTCTCGTTTGACAATGAAGAAAAAAAAAAAGGAAATCTTCACTATAGTGCAAGTAAACCATCCGGCATTTTTTTTTTTTTTCTTAGATTTCTTTTTCTTCTAATTAGACAGGTCCTGAAAGGTTAGAGAGAATGGTTTGAGATAATATCACAATTGTAAAATAAATCATTTTTAACTAAAAAAAAAACTCATGACCAACGTTATGTTATATCTATTTTTTTTAAATAAGAACCTTAATATCAGAATAGCAAAATAAATCATTTTAAACTGGCAACATATATGACTCCATAATCACCAAAAGTCAAAAAAAAAAAAAAAAATTAACAAGCAGAGATAATGCTTCTCCCAGAATCCAAACCTTTCGTCTTACAAAGCTCAAGCCTGCAAGTAAAACGTAGAACAATATCAAATGACTACAAATCCAAAGCAATCTTTGGTTTATATTATTCATTATAGTGTAGACTATACGAAGAAGAACAATGTCAGTTGCAAATCAGCTATATTTCCAAAAACGTTTCCCGGAAACTATAATCTGGAATGTGACATGGAAGGCTTACTTTGTTAGCAATGTTGTTGGAAAGCCAGTCCAGACCTTCGTACAGTCCCTCACCGGTGGTGGCGCACGTGCTCTGGATGTACCTGAAGAGAACAACGGAACAGTGTTGGTTTTAAGTTTTGAGAGCTCACAGAAAATAACAAAAATGTTCTTTAGACTTTGATACTCACCAATGACGCTGCCGGAGAGAGTGGAGTCCAAGCTTATCAGTTATCTCAGCAGCATTCATTGCGTTTGGAAGATCCTGCTTGTTAGCAAACACAAGAAGTACCGCATCACGAAGCTCATCCTGCAGATCATAAGCATTAATAGGCCAGTCAGCTTCCTAGTCGATTACTATTGTAAGTGTAGCACAAGATCAATGAAAGTAGCGTGATGGAATTGACTATAAGAGAGCAAATGAAAAGTATTAGTAAGCTTACCTCGTTTAACATCCTGTGAAGTTCATCTCTTGCTTCAACAACACGATCTCTGTCATTGCTATCCACCACAAAGATCAGACCTTGTGTGTTCTGGAAGTAATGCCTCCACAAGGGACGGATCTGTAAAGAGAAGACAAGTGAAGTGAGCACACGTTTTCCTCTTTCTTCTTTTTATATTTCAACCATAAAAAGTTTTTAAAAAATGGTAGAAACCTTGTCCTGACCCCCGACATCCCACACAGTGAAACTGATGTTTTTGTATTCAACTGTTTCCACATTAAACCCTGTAAAAAAACAGATCATACAATGAGTCTCCACTGATCAAGTATGTTGATTTAATTATAACCACGTTTCCTAATACTGTTTGTACCCAAATCACTTGTCAATGCGTATTCTATGCAAGATTTTAGAGACTGTACGCGATTTATTAAAGATTTCAATAAAAATAATTACAAAATTGGGGGTTAATTTTCTTCAAAAGTTTTGGGGGCCACAGGTGAATGTTTCATTTGGCTTTGCCAAGGACCTCCAACATTTAATTTTATATCTTTCATATTTGTTTCTGGGGCAATTAGTTACATCCAAATTTATACATCCAATGCAACTAAAACTGTTGAGTTGATATTCTAGAAAATATAACTTCCAGCGCAAAGGCAACATCTAAAACTTGCAATGACCAATAAGCTAAGTTGATGATAATGCAGAAGAAAATTATGTGAAACGATGATTTTTAAGAGTTTAAAAGACTGACCAATGGTGGGGATGGTGGTAACGATCTCACCAAGCTTGAGCTTGTAAAGAATGGTGGTCTTACCAGCAGCATCAAGACCAACCATAAGGATACGCATCTCCTTCTTCGCAAATAGCCTGCTGAATAGCTTCGCAAATGAAAGCCCCATTTTTCACTTCAGATAGTGATCCTGAAACCATCACAAACAATAACTCATCAGATCATAAAAACATTTTCAACTCAGAGATTTTCGCCAATTTGAATCTCAATCAAACACAAAACAGTATGAGACTACAACCAATTCAAAACTAGACATTTCAGTATGTGATTCGAATCCACAGAGTCTCACCAACAAGAAACCTGAGATTCCAATCACGTAAATGTAACAATACGGACGCAAATTAAACCTAAAACAGAAAAATGTGTGAAACAGTGCGAATGTACGATCGATCACGATATTACGTATTTTCACGATGAATCTTAACACAAGATCATGAAACTATGAAGAACGAGATAACGGCAGATATATTTTGTTTAAATTCAGATGAATAGCGCAAAAATCAGGGATTTAAAAACTGGACGAATCTCTGAAGAAGAGGATCTAAGCAAACGAGATCCGATGTTTACGGGACGGAGAATCAAAATCAAATCATCAACGGAACGAGCCTCCGTCGCGTGACAATCATAAAGAAGCGAAACGATCGAAAAAGGTTTGGAGTTTACCTCTCTAGCTTGATGCGAAAAGATCCGTACGAGAGAGAGAAGTTTTAAATCAACGCGAGATCAACAGAGCTTTAACTGAAAATGTATTCTCTTAACGTGATATTTCACTACCACCCCTCTTATTATCACTTTTTTGTAGATTAGCCCAGAAACTAATTGTCATGCAATTTCCAGTTAATTTGGGTCCGACTGAAAATGTTTCCAATCTTTTTACAACTGTATCTAGTACAATGACCCATGTAAGTACCCCAATCCACAATTGCATTTTATGATTCTATAATTTATATTCACGGAACACTATTAAATTGACCAAGAAAAGGAACACTAGTAAGTTTGTAGGGACGAAAATTCAAAAGTTTCAAAAGTAATGGGAGCATTTTTAAATTTCCATTTTTCTTTTAAATGAAGAATCACACCAGGGTCGTCAACATGGCAACAACACAAACGGAACATATTCACAAGAATAAAATAATGGAGAACTGATCTATACAAGTAAGCTTCAGCACAACGATGAAGTCTAGGCAAAAACGCAGCGTTTTCAATGTGAATATAAACTATAGCTTTCAGGTTAACGAGGTTATTTACATAGTAACAGTTTGTCACAGAAGGATGTAAAAGCCAGAACATAAACCAAACCTTCAAGTGTGTGTGTGTGTGTTATTGACGTGAGAAAAGTAAAATAGCATATACATTTTCCGGTTAAACCGGTGGTTCAACGCCAGTACTGAGCCCACCTGTGTATGGTTTCAACCATTTGCGGGAACAGAGCGCTTACGCTTTCATTAATCAGATCTTGAAAGAAATGGATGCATGCTTCGTCGTCCATATCAAGCCTAAACTTCTCTTGGAGCTGTACATAAACAGAAAAAAAAACGCAGCGTTTAGGAGAACAATAAAGCGCAAGCAAGAGACCAATTCATGTACAAGAAGAATGTAAGGGTAAAAGAATATTACTTTGAGAATGCCCTTTTCAGGATCTGAAGCTATGTCAGGAATAGTGGAACCCGCCATGAGATAGAACAGATTCAGAATAAGGTTGCTTGATTTCCTGAGAATGTTGTAGGCTTCACAACAGTATGATTTGAACCTTGTGTAGTATTGGCTGCATTCAACATATAGTACATAGTAAGTCTGATGCTATATATATCTCTCGAGTCAAAGATTCATAGTTAGTAAACATGGATACCTTTCTGCTCCTCCCATGGCTTCCACCATTTCCTTACAGAGTTTCATCGGTGGAGGGAATGGTTTAGGATCTCTACCGAGTATAAACGCGAAATCAACGTGGAAAAGACGGCCATCATCTGTAAGGAGGAGGTTGTCCAGGTGTCTACATGTGACAACAGGCCATCACAATATGATTACAAGGCATATTTACAAAACAAGACCCACGTAAACCTTCTACACCCTACCTGTCTCCAATCCCAAGTATGTAAGTGATCACAGAATAGCCCGCACAGCTTTTTATAAATGTCTCGAGACAAGTGGCAGTTATCCCGAAAGGAGCATGCTCATCAGGATGAAACTTCTGCAGATAACTTGTTATGCTTCGGTGCTCTGAGAGAATCTGAAACATGCAAAAGGCATATATCTTAGAATAACGAGATTGTTTACTCTCGAAATTACAATGGACTAAAGGTGCTGCAGAGCGTACCTGAGCCAAAGAACGGGATGGTATGAACTCCAACATTCCTTCGTCATGTCCAGTTGCTAACACTTTATAAGGAGTTAAGCACAGATCAAGATTTTCCAGCTTAAGCAGTCTATCCATGAGCCAAACCATTTGAACAACCTATATTAGAGAAACAAAAATCACAACATGAAGAGAAGATCTACCACGATGTGATACAACAAACCCAAATATACCAGTTGGTCTTGCCGGAGATCATCGCCCTTCTTAAATATAACTTTGCAACTTCCTTCGTCTTCTGTTCGGAAAACTAGCATCAGAGGATTCAATTGACTTTTAAAGAGCGTTGATTCTCCGGGCACAATCCCTTTTATGAGGACACTAGGGGTAAGCGGTGATCGAATAGGCTGAAAGTAAACCGAATCATTACAACACTTCCGACTCAGACATTCTTTGATGAACAGCACTTGTTATGAATTAACAATATTATAGTGGAAGTACCTCTTCAAAATAGGTGAGTTCGCTATGGAGTCCACTTAAAAGCTGTCTGAGCTTCTCAATTTTCTTGTGGGTGTTTCCACGTACATTTCTCACTTCTCGTGTAATGGAAACTAACTGAGCAGTCAGTCCTGTTTGGCCCACCAAACTTTGCCACAGTTTATTTCCATCTTCTCCATTAACATCGGGCGGCAGCTGACATAAGAGGAAGAAGACCATTCTCGAGCAGTTAAACAGATCTTACTTGATGAATAAAACAGCTCAATTTCTTGCCCCAAGGACACAAATTACAACGTAAGGTGACCACTACTACTCTCGCTAGAAGTAAGGATTCCATATTATCTTCGCTGCATCGTGCACTAGCTTTTTAAAGAGACAAAATTTTGAACAACCTAGCACTTTCAACCCCTAACCCACATCCCAAGTTCTAAGGGTTTGAAATCTCACTAAGTGACTATTACAAAAAGAGCAGAGGCCGGAAAAAAAAACTGGAATAGTAAATAAATGTTCGGTTCACACCTTTTTCATACTCTGCTCAAGTAAGTCGTATGTGCTGAAATATCGCTTGTTATAGACATGGTCAGTAAGTTCAACAGCAACATACCAACGAAAGAAACTGGCCAACTGAATATTCTGTAATGCTAGAAGTTCGAAGGAAGAATAATATAAATCAATGAATGAATAACTCAGGGAACAAATGTAAATTAGTTACATAGAGAAAAAAAGTTAGCAAAATTTCATGGCTAAGAAGTTCAGAACATACCCCGTTGGACAAGGAACTGAGAAAGTCTGGATCTATCAGAGCGTTCAAAACGGAGAGCCTGAACCAGTTGAAGCAAGTAACACTGGAGCTCTTCATCATCAGCTCTTTCAAGGACACTTACAGCATAAGCTCTAACCTATCAGTAGGTGTACCGAGGAATTAGCAAACATTTAAAGATATCAGGATGAAGGACAAGCAGATCCAGTACGAGGTACAAATACAAGACTAGGGAAAAGAAAATTTAGCATTTCTAGTACCTCTTCACTTTTGAATAGAGGAGACAATAGCTCCAAGGCATCACATACATCTATCATTTCCCATTTGTACATCAGTTGAATTGCTTGCTTTGCTTCCTGCCAACATAGGAAAGATCATGCGACATGAAAAAAATAAGAACAAAGAAAATAGATGAAAAGCAAAAGATGTACGCTTACCTGAACATCACTCCACTCCACACAGCGGAGAAACTTTGTTAGAGCTCTCTTTTCAGACATCAGAGAGAAACGAAACTTCCAAAGAAGCTGTCTTTCATCTCCACTTAAAGTCCTTGTTGGCGGATATTTTAGAACGCGTTGTATTGATCTTTAAAAGAAGGAAAATACAACTTTCATAATAATATGATCATGAAATGACAGGAAACTGTTTCTCATAGAAAAAACCATCATTACATACTTACTTCCGTTCGTTATTACTCGGCTTGAGATCCCTGTCAATAATGCCACGATCCAAGCTCCTTGCAAGCTTTAGTTGCTTGTGCTCGGAAGGATTAAACTTTCCCAGTTCTGTATCCCAGACAGTAACAAATTCATTTGTTGATCCTATTGGGGAAGTTATTAACAAATTGGTTCCAGACTCCTAAAAATCAAAAGCAGATAGACATGAAATAAACATGGAGAAATCTTTAGATCACAACAGGTAACACGGCCACAGACAGATCCGATGGCAGTGAAGACTGTACCTGAAATACAACTCGATGCTCAAAACTACAAAAGTCGATAACCAAGTAGAGATATGAGTTTCCATGTTTGGAGCTGTCTTGTTCCTTGATCTTATCCAAGGATTTCAACATAAGTCGGTCCAGCCAATCAATGCTTTGAATCTGCCCCCTTTCAAACTTATTCATGAGCTTCTCCAAACGCTCTAGCTCACCTCGCTCATGCCGTGGAACCTAAAGTATTACAAATTACAGAAAACCCCAGAAAAAGGAAGTTGACGTAAACAACAATAACTTCGAAATATAAACCTAGAATTGAGATTGATCAAGAAACCTTTCCAGGAGTGGATGTAGGAAATGAACCATCCGCTTCCTTCCCTTGCCAGAGTCTAAGTTTCTGCTTTCCTGATTTCATTTGCATCTTGCTGTTAAATAGAAGTATCGTCGCACCACCAATGAGTCCCTCATCTTTTCCACACGAAACATCCCAAACCTGATACAAGCAGAGACTCTCCGATAAGCCGAAAAGAAAAAAAACCGAGAAGGTAACATAAAAAACAAGAAATGTGGGCAGCTATTTGTTTACAGTGATGGCAAGCTGCGAGTGAGCAGTCAAGTCCC